ATGCTTAGCTCTTTAATATACATTCTCTTATATAGTTTTCATCCAAATAGAAACACAAACAGACTCTAAACAATGTCTGGTTGTTTTTGACATCACATTTACTTTGTTTCCCTTTGAGTCTCATTTTGAGACCAAATATGAAAACAGGGCACAGTTAACGGAGCTGTGCAGATGAAGCCTTAGGTAGAAACAACACTTGTACAAGCTTTAATTAAATTTAATTAAATAGATGGCTTTTTAAGTCAAAATTCCATGTGAGTGCTATGGACCTAATCCAACAAGTCATCATACCTAAATGACAAAATAGGTTGTTTATTAGTGCCTTACACATGCGACTGTTCCAAAAACAGGAAAAAGCGTGGTCATGGTTAAAGTTGAAAAACATGCTTATATCCACATCCAGCAGTTATGGAGAAACATTATTATTCACTTGGACCTGTGTTTGTGTCCACCTTATGAATGCAATATCCACTCTCTTTTAGTTCTGTTTTTTGGTCTCCACCAACTCCTGAGGTAAACATCTGGCTCTTTAGCTGCTAAATGCTGGTGAATGATGTTCACCAGCTAGTCTTTAACTGTGTCCGTCTACTGTTTGGTGTGGAGCAGGTAGCATATAGTGGACTTTTTTGAGCTTTTCCACTGAAAACAGCTGCTTGCTATTCCCGAAAACGACACTATTAGAGCGGTGAGAGTAAACCAAAACAGTTAAGTTATGGGCCAGACAGCAAAACAACGAGCTGAAATTCACTGTAAAGCTCAGTAAAGCCAAAGGGAGCTGCATATTCAGGTGTTAATTCTCTGTAGGTTCGTGCCTATGATAAACCTCTTCACATTGTTATAAAAAAAAATCAATTACTTAACTGTAATTTTTCTAGTATGGACAGTCTCACCTCATCATAAATGTTCATACGTCTCTTTTCAGTAGCACCTTTTTCTGTTGTTTTTATAGCATAATGTAAACACTTTTAATCAAGATCTGTTTTGCTCATATATGATATACAGTGAGTACAGATATGATATTAGAGTGTCAGTGTGTTTGCCAGAGAAAGAAAACTGCACCAGACCCAACAGCATGATGTCAGCACAGTACACATCACAGGACCGTAATATCTTCCTAGTGTAAACACCAGTCTTCGGGCAGCTGGCAGGTGACTGGCACAGTCCGTCTGTGTCGTTTGTTTGATCAAACAGGCGGTTTTGTCCACACATGCATTCTCTCTCTGTGCAAATGTTCCTCAGTGGGTTTTTTTTTTTCTGGCAGCGTGTGCACAGACGTGTGATTGTGTGTGCGCCTGTGCATGTGGGAGTGCTTTTGGATCATCCTGTTAGACCAGCTAGGAAAAGAGTCATAGATTGGCTGAGGCTTTATCCCCCTCTCTCTTGAAACACAAGGAAAATAGCACCGTGGAGGAAGGGAGCAGATGAAAATAGCTCAGTAGGCAATCGCTGACTCACAAGGCAATGCTGGGAGTCAGGAAGACATCCATTCCAGTATGCATCAAATCAACTAGCTGTTGTGTAACTCCCTCAGCACCCATAAATCAAACTCTTCTCAGAGTGCCTAGCTACAACTAGAATGACTTTTGTGCACATGCCCCCTCTGTGGCTGCATAAAGAGAGGGCAGTGAGATCATAGGTGCCATTTATCACTTTTGACAGCATTGCCCAGAATCTTTGGGGCGGGGAGGGGGGGGGTAGGACAAGGCCAGTTGGCTGTGATGTAGCATGGTCAGCTAACTATCCAGCTCATTCATCATGCCACTCAAGGAGCGTAGGCTGTCAAAGCTCATGTTTTTTTAAGTACTGTGAAATGGAACAAGAGCACGAACTAGAGTCAGATGTAAATCAGTCTAATTAACATATCAGCTACCGTACATGCACTGGTTACTCATTCACCTGTAGGGCCAAAAATTATATGCAGTTTTGGCAAAAGAGAGATGCTTAAGGAGCATGATGGCATTGGACTTCTTCAGGCTAATGGGGATATTAGCTAGAGAAAATATTTATATGCACACAAGTACACTATATTGTCAAAAGTTTTAGGACACCCCTTCAAATCATTGAATTCAGGTGTGCCAATCACTTCCATGGCCACAGGTGTATAAAATCAAGCACCTAGGCATGCAGACTGCTTTGACGAACATTTATAAAAGAATGGGTCGCTCTCAGGAGCTCAGTGAATTCAAGGATGGTAACGTGATAGGTTGCCACCTGTGCAATAAGCCCATTCATCAATTTTCCTTGCTACTAAATATTCCACGGTCAACTGTTAGTGGTATTAAAGCAAAGTGGAAGCGATTGGCAACAACAGAAACCCATCATAAAGTGGTAGGCCACATAAAATCACAGAGCGGGATCAGAGCATGCTGAGGCGCACAGTGAGCAGAAGGCACCAACTTTCTGTAAAGTCAATGGCTACAGACCTCTAAATGTCGTGTGGCCTTCGGAGTAGCTCAAGAACAGTGCGTAGAGAGCATCATGGAATAGATTTCCATGGCCAAGTAGCTGCATCCAAGCCTTACATCACCAAGTGAAATGCAAATCGTTGGATCCAGGGGTGTAAAGCACGTCGCCACTGGATACCAGAGCAGTGGAGACGTGTTCTCTAGAGTGACGAATCTCACTTCTCTGTCTGGCAATCCGATGGACGAGTCTGGGTTTGGTGGTTGCCAGGAGAACAGTACTTGCCTGACTGCACTGTGCCAAGTGTAAAGTTTGGTGGAGGGTGCATTATGGTGTGGGGTTGTTTTTCAGGGTTTGGGCTTGGCCCCTTTGTTCCATCGAAAGGAACTGGAAATGCTTCAGCATACCAAGACATTTTGGACAATTTCATGCTCCCAACTTTGTGAAAACAGTTTGGGGATGGCCCCTTCCTCTTCTAACATGACTGCGCACCAGTGCAAAAGCAAGGACGATAAAAACATGGATGAGTGAGTTTGAGAGACATGAGTTTGCGAGAAAGGCCTTCTTGGCCAATATCTTTGCCTGACCCTTACAAATGCACTTCTAGATGAATGTTCAAAAATTCCCATGAACACACTCCTAAACCTTGTGGACAGCCTTCCCAGAAGAATTGAAGCTGCTTTCAGACTAAACGTGAATTTAATCCTCGCGACGCTTTCCTCGCGTGAGTACATTCGCTGCAAGTGTTCACACACAACACAAGAAGGCAATTAGAACCCGCAAAAATTCACTCGAGTTGGAAATTTTCAACTCAAGGATGGTAACATACCTTCGCGTCGCCGGCACCGCCCCCTTCGCGTTGCTTCGCGCTGCCCAACAGGAAATTCACCGCCCCGAACGCTGGCTTCGCTTTTGGTCTGAAAGCACAGATATAGCTGCAAATGGTGGGACAACTCTATATTAAACCCTACATATTAGGAAAAGCATTAACCTTCACGTGTATGTAAATGCAGGCATCCCAAATCTTTTGGCAATATAGTGTATTTTGGTAATGATCAGGGTTTTGGATTATCCTGGTCATGTGTTTGCATAATTAACTTCCTGGTTTGAGAAAGCTGATGGTGTCATGTAAAAACCGTAACCAGGTTTCTGATCACTGCTTCCTCAACAAGTTATGAAGTCAGTAACTGATATAATAATGTTCTAAATGCTGAAACTAAAGTAAAAGGCTGACTCTGGTAATGCAGAGGATAGACTGTACATGTTGCTTTGGTTTTCCATTGCTGATATTTAGATGGATAAGCTAAAGCCAGCAAAAAAAATAAAGTCCGCTATAATCATTATTTTATTATATTTTTTATAATAATGAAGTATCAAATGACAATATGAAAACAATGTGCCTAACGATGTAAATAGGGTGGCTCATAGTGATGAACGTGCATCTGAATCTGCAGTTCCTCTCGGATTTAATAGCGATTTTCAGTTTGTCGTTTGTCTGTCCAATTCACAACTTTATTTTTCAGTGAAAAAGCTCTGAAAACCCACTGTACTCTACCTGCTCAACAGTAAGAAACAGCGACTGTCAGATGGAAGTGATGGAAAGTGATGTGCCACTGTAAATAGGCTCAAAGAAACGCTGATACATCTCAGCCCTTGAGAGACACAAAATCTAAGTGTACACTGAAGGCTAAGTGCCATGAAAAAAATCTGTATGAAACAGTGGTTTAAAACTATTAGGGAACCTCAGACTAGACTCTTGTTCAGTCTGTCTTTATTGACAACTATGTACCAAATGTACAGACTTTAGCTAAATCTATTTAACTGTGTGTGTGCGGAGTGGGACTGCACTGTGTATTGACTGATCTCAGAACTTACCAAGGACGCCAGTTGTTTTTGTTATTTTCCTCCAGAGCCCTCTTCTTTCCTTGGTTTTTCTGTGTATTCATCAATTGGAGTCGTACGGCTTTGGGTTAAGGGTAAATTCTTTGCTCAGATTGAAACATTTTCACATTGTGTCTTCACTTCACTTTGAACCCCCCCCCCCCCCCCCCAAGGGCGATTTTGCATCAATTCACATTCCCTGCATCGCATCTTTGCACTGATTTGGCATGTAATCACGCTGACTCTAGAGTTCACTTCACCTTCAGTCTGTACAAAATTTTAGAGTAATAAAACAGGGAGGTAAAAAAAATCAGGTTTCTCCCAAACACCTGTAGTAAACAGAAACTATTCATTGTGATAACTGGATTTTTCTTTTTTGAAGTGAGAAGACATAGAAAGGCACTGAATCATCTTTAGATTTCACATGGAATATGTCCCTCAGTCTTCCTCCTGTGTCTCTGTAGCCACTTTGCTTTTTAATATTTTACATTGTGTGTGCCAGCAATCCGACTACTCTCAGTTGAAAAATGCTTTGTTCTTTTTTTGTTTGTGGCGAGTAGCTGCCTGCTTGATGTTTTTAGCACTGCTGCAGCAGTCCTGTTCGGTGACCCCTGCCTGAATTATTAAATGTTTTTATTTTGCTACATTTAATTGAATGGAAACAATCTGGCGGTTTAATTATGAGAAAGCAAACAACTGTCTGTGTCTGTCCTCAGGTTGAAGCTCTGAGTGATGCAGTCTCTGTTCGGTGGAGGGGAGCTAGGGCTGCTGGGAGGAGGCGGCGACGCAGGGGGCCTGAAAGAGGATGGCTGTGGCAGTGTGGCGTGGCACTCCTCCACCCTGCCCCCCGACGATGTCTACTCAGCCTCCCACTTTGCCCTTATCACCGCCTATCAGGACATCAAGACGAGGCTGGGCTGCCTGGAGCGGGAGAACAGCAGTATCAAGAGGAAGCTCAAGATCTATGAGATCAAGGTGAACGGTTTTTATGGCAGATCACAAAGTCAAATATTACTTAAGATTTTTGAAAATAAGTTGTTATTGTTGTTTTTGTCCTTGTTGTTCAGGGATAGGGCTAGTTTGTTTTTTGATTTATTGGAAGTCTTTCAAAAGGGGAATGTGCTGTCCACTCACCCTTAGCATTTTTCATTTTTATGGAGGCAGTGAGATTGTACACAAAGATAAAAGGAGTGAAAGCTTTGGTGGGCTTTGATCTTCGACCAGCGGGGGAATAAATAAGACTCCAAAAGTGGGAAATTATTCTGCTGTATCTCAGTAGAAGGCTAGTGAAGTTTTAACTCATGTTTAAGTAAAACTAATTTTGTTACAACTGTAAGGAGACCTGGAAGCAACAGAGCCAATTGAGATGCTATAAAAGGGCTGTGCACACATAACCCCTTGTTGAAACTGAATTAATAGCTCACAGGAGCTAATGTGGCTGAGTAAGCCTAGTCCTTTCATGTATGGCTCCCATTTACACCTGATTAACATGCGGTCTGTATATGGATCCAGTATCTGGATAATGAGGAGAGGTCACAGGCTTTTGTATTGTTGTATTGTTGTTACTGTTTGTAGTTTCGCAGCCCAAAGTAATGTATTGAAATAGCTTTTTTTGCTTAACCAACAGTCTAAAACACTTAGATATTGATATTACCTTTATAAACAACAAAGAAAAACAGCAAATCCTCACATTTAACAAAGTTGAAACTGGGAGGAAATGGGGGCCTGAAATACACACATGCACACACAGGACCTATACACATGCAGTTGTTGGGGAGAGATGTTGTGGGGCTGCCAGTGGTAGATAAATCATCTTAACATAATTAGATTTTCCTTGAAGATAATGGTGTGTGTATGACTGATTTAATGAGACACAAACAAGACAGAAGGGCAATAAACAGTATATTACTACAGCTTCTTGGATCTTGGATTTTGAGGTTGGTGAGGTTCTCCGACTTCCCATGTCATCAAATGTATGCTCCGTCATGGACTGTGGACAATACATTTTGTAAATATACTTTAAAACGCAGCATTGTTACTTCTTCATAGATTTAATCTTACCTTTCTCATCTTTTAAACTTACAGCCACTGACAGTTTTAGTTTGATTAATTAAGCCCTGACTTGCTCTGTACAGGGGACATAGATCAATTTTTGTACAAAATGCAAATGAGAAGTTCATGTCTGATTCTAGTATTTTGTCACCCTATCCATGCCAAACACCTCCGTGAAGCTAGAAGGCTCATCTAGAATCTCAAACCAACCATTTTTATCCATGCCAAGCACACATCAAACACCAAGCATCTAAATGATCTTTTATCACAACATAGATCACATTTTAATCACTGTACATGGCTATACAATTATTGCCTTCTAGATTTCTCTCATCACATCCTACACCTCAGTCCGACCACTCTAAAGAAAGCTCAGCTCCAGCTGTGATCAGCTGTGTATATCAATCAAATCACAAAACTCACAGAGTTATTAGCTGGATAAAAGTAACAAAAAACACACCAATCTCTCTAAGCTCTCTCTGAGTTTCGGTTCGCCAGCTGGCCGACATACACGCAGACATCCAATATGCCAAACGATTTGTCTGCTCAAGACAAAGAGATATTGCCCACTTACAGCCCTGTAGGATGTTCTGAAGTTATGGGCCTGTATAGCATGGGAGTTCATTCGGTTATAGGAATGTTGATGAATATTCACTGTTTTTATCAATATTTCAATGTTGTGGAAGCTTTATGTTATTTGGAACTTGGTTGTATGGACAGAAATTGTGTTTTGAAGAAAACTCCCAATACCAGTAAACAGTAAATATGGCCAAAACACAGACAATTGTGTAATAACTGTTGTATATTAGCTTCTTTTCATCAAATTTACGGTTACAGTTGTATTTGAGGTGTATTAGAAGATATTCAGTTGCATTATAATCCGTTGGATGATGGTTTTGATAGTGATATTGCTATTAAAATATAGATTTTATAGCAGGAGCGGATGAAAATATAATTTTGTCCTTTACTGCATCTCCATTTACTCTTTAATAGCAAAATAAATGTGTTCATTTATAGTTGATTCATATTCTGATCTATCAAAGGAGACCAGAATTATACATCTAGGCCTAAAGGTTGAGGAGTTATTTATGATTCATTTTGGGTTATTATTTTATGCATTTCTTCCCAGAAACAGGAGCAACTAGCTTGTAGTTACCAGCAGGTTATTTACATCAGCATACTTGTTAATAATAATAATTATTGGTGACATCGATTGGGAGTCATCAGCAAAATAGTTCATCAGGGAGTTCATAAGGGCTCATCCAGTGGGTCATGAGAATTCAGATATAAGAAACAGACAGGGTTGTGGTTGCTGGTTATTTGATATATATATGTATAATGTCTATCCTGATCCCAACAAAAGTTAGCTACTTGAGTATTTTTCACTGTCAATGAGACTGTAAATATTTCTGCATAGCCAGGCCTGTTTGCTTGGTGGTATAAATCAAGACTGCTTTTCGGTTGGATGAGAGAGCGGGTGAAGCAGAAATCCACCTCCTAGCAGTAGCTGGGCCAACAGACAGTTATACCCGGGGAATGTAGGGCGAATGAGCATAAAGGAATAGCGTGGGAGGACTAAAAGTGAGGAAAAGTGGAAAAAATGAGTGGAAAGAGGGAGCTAAATGTGCGGAAGGCTGCCATGCAGATCACAGAAAAGGGAAGAGAAATGAGGCAATAAAAGGAGATAATGTAAAGAGCAAGGGGAAGATAAATTGCTGAAAAGAACAAATGAGCATTAAAGAAATTATTATCATTAGTCTGTGGTGTTCTCCTTATTCTAGGAAATATATGATGAATCTGTAATGTACCCTCTTTCCCCTCAGCTTAGGCTGACTTCAGGTGCATGAGGACTTGAAACAAGCTGTGCTATACAGTGCTGGGGAGAGTGCTATCAATTTTCATTTCCAAATTGTCCAAGATGAAGCAAGCTGTTGCTGCGTTATGGTCTACGAGGGATACTGTTGGTAGGGAAAGTGAAACTCTTCTGTGATGTTGGAGTGCAATCGTTGCTCCAGAAAGCTCTGATTCTGGGAGACTTGCATCAAATGCCAATTATTAGTGCTCAAGTCTTTAATATATTTTGACATATTGGTAGGAAATATATTGTGATTGACCTTTTTGCAAACTGATGGAAAGACAATTTAGCTTGACTTTGTCTTTCCCCCCCTGACAGCCCTGCATCCTTTTAGTGAGCAGCTGTTACCAAAGGCCGCAGGCTGCAACATCGCTGTTGACTTATTCACAAGCGGCAGTTTGTTCAGGGCCCATTCCCAGAGAGACAGGTGTTGATTTTGGGAGAGCAGGTGCAGATGTTTGCTGTTTGGAGTGTTGCCACACCTGCATCTCTGTAAATACGGCATGTGCCATTTTTTCAGATTTGGATAATTAATTGAAATAATACACATTATCAAAATATTCACTCCTGAAATGTCCCCCAAGTTAAAAGATTCTTTTCCCAAATGATATGAAATATAAAAAATGATAATGAAATATTATTTTAAGCTTATTTTTTGAGAGGTGGTGAATATTGCTGCAGGCTTTCTCTAAATACAAGATTCCTCCGTACAGCTGCTGTAATGATGCAGATGGATGCTTCCTGCTGCTTTGAACATGGGTTGAAGTGAGGTTGTTTAGTGCTCCCAATGCTCGGTAGTGTGAGAATTCTTGCGTCCCCTGGGGGGGGGGGTTGCCCATGTTGCGAACATTTACTGTTAAACTGAGCAGAGAGAGGTGTTCTGCTAAATGGAAAAAGGTTGTTTGCTTCTCAAATAGACATTGCATCAGTGGCAATGACTTCACACAGACAACGAAAAGCCCTCTTTGCTTATGGTAGGCACTCTAAATGTAAATGTGTTCTTTTAGGTTAAACCACAGGCAGTTATATAACTTGTCTTGTGTGTTTCGGTCATATAATTCCGCTACCAAACAGTTTAGCTCTACAACTAGACAAATTGCTTACTTCAAACGTAAAATAGCGGTAAATACAGTACAGATTACGTAATCAGTCATATCTGCATAATTGTAGCTACATATAATGTGATTATCTAAGTTTTCATGTAGTGCTGTTTCAATAGGTGCTCCTCTTTTTCTCTGTGTTATGATATACAACAGAAGATGTGTTTTCCTTCATAAATGATGAGTTGTAGTGATGAAGATGTGAATATGTTACCTCTAATTTTCTTAAAGGAAAAGGCTGTTTGTATTTTATATTTTCTTATTGTCAACAAAGACCAAAACCAACATTGAACTGATTCTACCCTCAAGTGTTGTCTGTGTAGCCGAAGCCTAATCTTATTCCTCTGTGCTCCATTATTGTCCAAACACTATTAAAAACACATCAGTGAGTCACACACACTGAAGTTTATTGTGACTCAATCCCACGTACGCTGTTCTGCTGCTGGAAATACTCACCAGCACATCCAGGTGTCAATACACATCTGAAAATAGTCTCCAGCAAATGCACTACTTACTCCTGTTAGAGTAATGTTTGCTAAAAACTACAATGCCCAACTGTTACAACTGTTATTATGATGTCAGTAAAAACCAATGGGCTTGAGGCTGACTGCCACAGACAGGGTAGGTAACTCAGAAAGTATCGAGAGACTTACTTATACATTGCTGGTTTTGGTCTTTTCATGAGATTGCATATAAGAAGTGGACTTGACGACCGTAACATCCCCCATTGGATTGTGGACTACCATTTTGCCATTTTGGCCATTGTCTTCTTGGTTTTTTGGAACCAGAAGGGGCCATATTTGGATGACGAGTGGAGCTGAGGATGAATACACATTGCTATTGGTAGTAACTTGTCAATCAGAAGGTAGCCATGCCCTAAAGCATACCCTGCATTATCATCTATTTTACTCTAAATAGGACCATAATTTACAAAAGAACATCATGCTGTCTTGAAGAAGACTTGAAACTTGCGACTGAGATTATAAACTCATTAGGAAAGTGTTTACTGAGGTAATAAATCAAGTGAGAAGTAGGGTCATTTATCATAGACCTCTATACTATCAGACTTCCTTTTTGCAACCAGTAGAGTAGAGTTTAAATACTTTGCAGGATGTGCAGTTGATTAAAAAATAGCACACCATGTTGGTTAATCAGTGTCATTTTAGCACAGTGGAGCAATAAGATGTGGCAGAGAAAATCTGATCCGCAGTGTCTGAGATATCATGATTGGCATAAAAACACTAAACATTGCTGCACCCACTCTTGGCCCAATGAGTAATTTTGAAAAAGTATGTCAAGAAATATGAGCAGATGGACAAATAAGTAACTGATAGATGGATGGACAAACAGCAGCTGAGTCACAGATCATCACCAGATGAAATCAGGAAGTACAATTAAAAGGGACTAAATTCACTGATGAGTTAAGGAGAACCGAAAAATAAAATCTAGTTCATGAGAAGATAACATGACATTAGTTAAAACATCCTGGTCCTCTGAGTGATATCTGGGCCAAGCAGACGTTGCAGTTGATGCAATATGAATCTTTAATGATCCCCATGTGAAATCATCAAAAAATGGCAGAATACAGCAGGAAAAATAAGTATAAGCACACAAACAAACAAAAAATATTAATAATTTAATTCACTGTTTTATTATCTTGTTCTCTACACTCTAGGTTTTAACCATATCCTCATTATGACATGTCTAATTCTATGTTTGTTTAATGTTGTTTACTTCATTCTTCTGCAGTTCCCTATGATCAGCGAGTTTGGGGAGAACACTAACTCCTACTGCTCCTTTGAGAGCAAGGAGACGGCGCTTCTGCACTCAGAAAATGGCAACCTGCAGCAGAGAGTCAACGTCCTGACCCATGAGGTAAGAGGAGAGATGAGGGGGGAGACAAAGTAGAACAAAGAGGGAGGATGGGGGGGGAGATGAGATGTAAGAGAAGTCAGAGGCAAGATGGGATATGTACAAAGAGGAAAATCCACTTTACTATATACTCATTTTTAAATACACTGGATAGAATTAAAAACCTTATCACACCAAAGGTTTTTCTCAGTGCCTGAATTCTACAGAAATCCCTCCCTGCATATGAATTAATTGAATTAAAAGTGAATTGAGGCCAACCCTGATGGACATGCACTGAAAGATGTCCAGAACTAATTAAGCACTAAAGCTGCTGCCCATGCAAATTTACTGAAATTGGGTGTTTTTAAGAAACCGTCCAAAGAGCACTGTGACATGGGATTTTCACGCTGGTGTTCTATTTTTGAGATGTAGTATAATTGGGACCAAACCTGGCCAAGATTTTGCTGAATATGTACGCCTTAAGAAAGAAAAATAAATAAAGTAGCCATGTATTTTTCCAGCACATCCTGCATCCTGTATGTTGGGATACCAATTAATTAGAAAATGTGGTATTATTTAATACATGTACAGTGTGATTTAAAATAACAAACAAGATGTGTGCATGCTACATTCAGACAGTATAGCACAAGAAGCAGGACCAAGAATCAGTTTTACTACTTTTCTTCTATATACATGAGTGTAACCCCCTTCCAAAAATTGGCTGGAGTGAGAAAAGAGAAAGCAGCAATAACTATTTCCCCACGCTCTCGTTCACAGTCGTAGAAACGGTAAAGAGAAGTTACTGACACAGGAAGGCGGTGGTAAAACTGGTAGCTACAGCTGAAAAAAAAAAAGCTAGAGAGCAAGAAAGAGGAAGGAAATGGTTTATGGGAGCAGCAGAAACGATTAAGAGTCACACGGCTCTGACACCGGGCATTCAGAGTGATGAAACGGGCCACAACTCACTGAGCATGCTCTGTTGGGACTCGACCCCCGCCCCCCCACCACATACACGTACACAATCCTTATCCCCTTCCTTTTGGTAAAGTGATGGGTTGCCGTTATCAAGGAGAAGTAGAGAAATGCAAAATACGTCCTGTCAGAGAAAGCATCAGATGAATTTGAAGGTCACAAAGCAAAAAATGTTGTCATGTTTTTCTGAGATAAAAAAAAATATAAAATTGTGACCGTACAGCTTCTCCTTGCATAATGTCTGTGCCAAGGCAACCAACTGAGCATGTTGTATTGTGTGTATTTCGTTTTGGGAATATATACCACTAAAGCACAATATCCACTCACATAACAGCCTAAAAGTGGGTTTTGCTTTATTACTTGACCTTGAGGCTATGTTTTTCTGAGGGGCCCTGAAACATTCTTTGTTTCAGTCTGGTGTTTATATTTTGCATATTATTAAATTAACGTGTTTAATCAAATTAATACACAGCAAATCTGGTTGTAAACCAGGCATTATTCCAGCAAAAAACTGCAATCATTGTGCAGAGAGGGGAAGAAACAAGGGGTTAATAGGGGAAACAGAGCATAATTGCCCAGGCGCACCCTAGCAGGTTAATCCTGCCATGATGACAACATTAACTCTTCCCTCTCTTTCATTATTTGCTTTAATGTGTCCTTTCTATTAAAGTCATTTGGAGACACGACATGGCAACATGAGCGAAAAGCAGTACATAAGGAAATTACTGCAACGTTTGCCCTGATGCAGAGGAACTGAGGCCAAGACAAATAAAGGCATTCGAGGAAGGAGAGAGAATTTCTTTTTGTCTTATTGTGAACACTGCAAGGGTTTTTTATTATCAGGGAATTAAAGGTGTTATCATCCATAATTGACCCGTGGAAAATCTATCTGAACCCAATACCCATTAATTTCTTTCTTAATAAAAGAGAACTGTAGATAATTAGATGGACTAAGACCGGTCTAAATTTTCATAAAAACTTGAAAAATCACAATGGAAACAAATTTGATGAATAACTCATGACATACAATGAAGCATGTGACTTTCCACTTGACTAAAGAGACTTAAAATTGCGGCGAGGAAAACATCAGAACATCACATTAATACATAAAATGTATAAAATGAGTTTTCTACATGGTTTTCCATCGTGTGAGGTTTAACTGCAGCTCTTTTAATTACATTATCTTGTCGTCTCTTCTTCTGCAATGGTTTAATGGCACTAACTGTTTATCCTGATACACCAAACTTCTAATATTCACATAACAGTAGTGGATGGAAGCTCACACACAAATTCACCATTTCTTCAGCAGATTTTCTGGAAATTCGGTTAGTATTTGCCCTTAATTTAAATGGAAATCTGTCTAATGTCAGCGTGTTCTAAGAGCTTACCGTACTTTGATAAGTACAGTGTCGTCAAATAATAGAGATGGTGGGCAAAATTACAAAAATAAGATCATCCTCTCTGATGTATTTAAACTGAAGCAACATTCAAACTACCATGCCATGAATTCATTGCCTTACAGAAGATGTGGAAAACCCATATTCCACACCGCAATCAAATCTAGTGTGTAAATGACTAATTACACTAAAAATACTCTCTAAAAAACGTTCAACACCAAACAGCTTTGATCCTTAGAGGCCGTTTAAAACAACAAACCATTCTCACATACAGTATCCACACTGAGGTGAACATTTAAAAAGGTGATAATGAGAAAATCTGAAGAATTTAGGCCTTTCTTCTTGTTTCTGTGTGCATCTCCTTACAGAAATCTAGCTCTGGAGGGATGCTGCTCTCCTCAGTCACGATGCTTGTTGTCAAGCCATCCTTACCTTGGTGCCAGTTTTCTACAAGCATATGTTACCATAGACACACTGAATAGGCCTCACTGCTCCGGCACACAGCAGTGATATACCTCTTTGTCCTCTCCGAGTCTCTGTTTATCGCACTCCCTTGCTGCTGCTCCCACTCTCATTCTCTGCATTGTCAAAAGTGACCCTATTCTTCTACAAAAATTTCCCTTCTTTATCCTCGCCTGCTTTAAAATCTCTTCATTTCACTAACTTTAGTGTCAATGCTCTCAGATCTGTCAACAAGGATGTGATTATGGCATCCAGTGACTTTCACCCCCTTATTATGTCACAGTGTGAGGAGAATAGATCAGCAAGACATCAAGAAGCAGTGAAGATGGCTGTTGAAATCATGATCTGTCGAGATGGGGAAGCTTTGTGTTGTGCATGCTGAGTTGTCCGAATTTCAGTGTGTCCTAAATTTGCTTGGTTATATAACAGTTTCTTAAGAGACACATTTGATGACTTTCACAATGGAAGTTTTTGGTGTTTTCGCCTCTCTCTGTCTCTCTCTTTGTGAGGAAGTTTGAAAACTCACAAAGAAAGGAAAAAGGAAAAATGTATGGCTTTTTTCCCCGTTTTTTTAGCTTCTGTTTCTCTGTATCTCGCTTCAGCTCCAGAAGAGAAAGGAGAGAGAGGAGCAGCTGGAGGATGTAATCCAGGCCTACGAGAAGATTCACATGGAGAAGAACAACCTCCAGAGGGATCTCGACAAGATGGTCAGAGACATTATTCAGTTCATTGCACTGTGCATTCGTTATTTAACAGAAGCTGTGTATATAAATCCTGCATATGTATGTGAACTTTTGGTCTGGAGCTGTTTAAAAGGTGTGTTCCAATTCAGGGAAAATCTTAATGCTTCACCTTAACAATAATATTCAAGAATGCAGTGAGCTTCCAACTTTGTGTCAACAATTTGTGTTTCCTGTTTGAACATTACTGCTCAAAGCCAGCTCCATAAAGAAATGTTTTTTCCAGTTTGGTGTGGAAGGCCTGCACAGAGCGCTGACTTCAACCCCAATTACAATATTTGATTATTGATACATCAAAACAAAAACAAAATGCGTAGCGTCTCAACTTTCTCCCCATTACCTCACTGGGTAAAATGTTATGCTTAAAAATGTAGACTGCATATCACTACCACATGTGCTGTACATGGTACTTTTACATTTGTCACTGATATTACAACTAAGAAAAAAATACACTGAATCACTTTGACTGTGCACTTAAACTGCACTGCTCATTTAAGTAATTGCCTTCTGAGCAAACATTTTTTGTTACTTCCTAAACTGAGTCAACAGTCCTTTAGAGTCATTCAGTGAAATTGCTCCTCTTACACAACCCTGTTGTCTTACAGTTTTTTTGATTGTAATTCTTGCCAACTTTTTTGAAAAGATTTAATTTAGCAAATGATTGTAATTGCTTATCCCAAGATACTGCAAGTTTGTATCATTTTAAATAGAATTCTAAAAAAAAAAAAAAAAAAACTTCTCTGGTTCTGCAACTGTGAGAATCTCATTTTTTGAATACATTTCTGTAACTGGGTAAAAATCAAAGTCAATCCAGACCAGGTAGAGGCTTCCAACTGAACAGATTGGTTGGCTGGTCTTTCCCAGATCCCCTCTGTGATAATAAACCATCTCATATGAGAGTGAAGTCTACTGAGCAGCTCTCGCCGAGCAGCCTCAGCAGTTTTATGTGGTCAGAGTGATTAAGGGATGAGGTGCGCCAGAGATGTTGGAACTGCCACCTGCCAAGGACTGACAAAGTGTCAATGTCACCTGAAGCTGTGGCTGCGTTCAGGAATACAGCTCCAACTACCTACTGGGCCTCGTTGACCTTAAACCTCCCAGCAGTGCATTCACACACTTCTTCTGACAGTGTATATATATATATATCAAACTTTTTCAGACAAACTGATGAAGTAAAATACCAATCCCTGGTTGCAAATATCAGTGCCAGGATATGAATTTAGATTGCTGATACTGATATTTAGCCGCCTTGGACATGTTCACAAAGTGTCTTTTAACAGGTTACAAAGAAGCAAGGCCTGGCTGAGTGGCGTAGGCCCTAAGTGCCAAAGAATGTATTGCATAGAAAGTCTATAAATATTTTAATGCTCTATTTTTGCAATGCAATTGGTGGATTCTAGTAATGCATAGTAAATATGTGTGATTACAGACTAACCTGGTGGAGAAGCATGTTGAGCGTATCCTGGGCCTGGAGTCGGCTCTGAGGCAGAGGGACAACTCCCTGCAGAAACTCAACATGCAGCTGCACAGCAAAGACATGCAGTACCTGCAGCTGCACGCTGGCCCAGACACACACAGTGAGTGACTGTCAGCTCTCACTCAGGATGCATGTCTGTATTAAAGATGTTGCCTGTACAGTGGTGAAACACTCTGATGGTAACAATACCGCCAAATATTTCTGCTACCATCTTACTCACTCATCACATTTTCAGAGGGCACAGTGAACACAGCACAGCACTGTATTTATTAGCACTTTATAAAATTTGGAACACTTACGCATTGAATAGCACTGATTGACAGTGTGAGGGATTTTCTGGTTCTGCCACGAAAATGAACACACAAAAGAAATCAGAACATGTAAAAAAAAACCTGAATTAGTGCATTAAAGAATCAAGTAATGCACTTGTCAATGTCTTAAACTAAAAACAACAGACCTGCTCTTGATTATGGTGTTCTCACTGTGTTTGATTTTGGTTCATTTGAGTCCAATAAAGCTTCAACATACACGAGCACTAATAGTATTATTTATGATAATGGTGATAATTTCATTTACCGTGATATTTTTGGCCACAATAATGGTATGATTATAAAGATACCAGCATATCCCTAAAATAAATATATATGGGTATATCTATTTTTAAATAAATACTGTAAATATATATCACTGGGTTGATTTGGTCAGTATTTTGGTTCATGGCCATCCTTAATCTTTCAGCTGTTTCATTTTGATAGTTACTATAAAGTAAAATAAGTACAGTAAGATAAGACGCTTCTATCAACCACAAGTGCATCTAAAAAAGCCTTGACACCAGTTATCCTTGTTAATCGCTGCTCATCTTTTCTCTATGTCTCAATCTTTAATCAAATCCAACAATCTGTCCAGAAAGCATTTTAATTGAGGTCAGGTTAATCCTCGGCCTGTTGGAAAGAGCCAGCTTGGACATTTTGTTCCAACTCCCCGATCTACGCGGGTGCTGGTCATTGAAATTCAACCATTTTGGCTTCAAAACTGTTGGAGTGAAGTGCCTGGTACTGTGCATTTGAGGATTTCTCTCAAATTCAGCCTGTTGCATCCATCTGTAATGATCTCTATTGTGATTGGTCTGCATTACCAAATGCTAGTAACCAGTGAGTGATAATTATTACAGTACATATAGTGTTACAGTACAATGCAAATGAATTCCCGTCTCAGAAATATTTAACAAGATGCTTTGAACAAGGCAGGTCACTCCACTGCTTTGCCTGCATTTATGAGAGAAAAAGCATGTGAATAAAATCTTAAAATCACATAAGATTTTAGATTATAAAGCAAAACAGCCTCACCAAGTCAGCAGATTCTTTCATTTTGAGACTGCAACACAAAACTCCTGATAAAATATGCAGTCCACTACTGCAAAAAAGATTCTGTTAAACTTAAAGAACTTCTGGAGTCAGTAGATGCTAAACTCTGCCCTCTCAAATGACGTGGGTGGCTGATGGAAGAAATGTGTCATTGCAACCTTAACAGATGCCTCTAACTTGATAAAGAGGATTATATATAATTTTACATGGGCATCAAACTTTCATATTTAATGGAAAAAGCAGCATTTAAGCTTTTTCTGCCTTAATTTGTGTCTGTGAAATCAAAATTTGCAAGGTAGTGCTGTTGATTAATAGCTGTGTGTGTGTGTGTGTGTGTGTGTATGAATGAGGCTCAGAAAATATCTTGTAGTGCAGACTGTGTTCAGTATTTGTGCACCAGTGATTGCACATACAAGTGTGGTGGTGAGGAGGCAGAAGGAGCTGGGATATAAAAGATGATACTGTCTTCTGGCTCAAGGACTGAGTCCGTGTGAGTGGTGCTGAATCACTAACATGCCCACACAGATCACATCACCCAGGTACAAACTGAAAGATGCTGCCCTTGGAAGAAGTCAGCTCTTTTGCTCGTTAATACTCATCTATTGTACAACAACCATGGACAAAAGAACTCTGCATTAGTCAGGAGAAAAGCAATGAAAATGATGTTTGTCTCTTGTGTTTCACATCTACATTTTCTCTTATTCCCCCCTGATCTTCTCTTTTTCCCACCCAGTGCTGGATTGTCCAGCCTTGACCCTTCAGAGCTCCCGCAGCCTGGACACCCTGTCCGACCTGAAGCTGCAGCGTCTGGAGGCGGAGCTTGAGGGGGCACGGCACGAAGCCCAGGGGGCGTGTCAGAGAGAAGAAGAGCTGAAAGGGGAGTGTGAGAGACTGAAGGAGGACATGAGGATGCTGCAGAACAGCCAGAGGGACAGGGTCAGTGTTAGTTTAGTCTGCTTGGGGTGCCACATGGGTGGAGTTCACTGTGTCTGCACAATTTAAATAATGTCAAGGACACTGTAAGACAAGCAACTGTTTTGCTGTGCATTCCATGAATTGTCCTGATTGAATGTGAGAAGCAGAAAGGGAAATGTCTTGCTATCTTGTGGATAAATTGGCTGTAATCAATATGTTTAGAATAACATTGTATCAAATGAAAATGTGAAAACAATGAAAACGTCTTTAATAGAGTGGCGAGAGTGAACTAACAGTAAGTTTGTGAAACTCAATCCAAACTTTATAAAGCCGTGTGGAGCAGCAGATTCGGGTGATAATTCTCTGTGGGTTCACCACTACGAGCAACTACTTTCAAATTTTAACCACTTTCAATTTGTTTTACCATTGTTATTTGATACATTATTATTGAAAAAAATATTAACTATGTTGCTTTATGGTCCTGATATGATAAAAAAACAAAAACATTTGTGACAGGATGCAAACTCAAACACACTATGTGGCCACCCACCACCGTGACTTCTACACCAGTGTTAGAAAGTAGGGCATACTACATCCTACACTGGCACTCAGCATTAAATTAAATAGACTCTGGCATTTAAGTGAATTGCATGCTGCAGACTTGTCCAACATGAACAGAATTCCTAGAGATTCTGGACCGCACACACTTACAGAGGTGGTCATCCTATACAAAACATATCAGAATTTATGAAAATTATTATTAGTTATATATGCATTTATGACTCTAGTGGGACACAAATCCCTGACTTTGCCAGTTTAGTCAATGAGCTGGTAGGGACTAAAGATCCCAACACAGCAATGTCAGGCTCTACCGGGGGAGGATTGCAATCCATTAGTGTTGCACTCAATTTTCTACTTAAAGGAATAGTTTGCAATTTCGCAATTCAAAAGTACTTTACATAAAACATAAAAGACATCAGGATAAAATTTAAAAAATAAGACAATATAAAGATACATTTAAATACAATTAAAAATAAAAATAAGATTAAACAGGAGGGTAAAAGTTGCAGTACAGAGTAAGCTATTGATCAATCCTCTAACCTGATTTAATAAAAGGCAGCATCAAAAAGAAAAGTCTTCAGCCTTGATTTAAAAGAGTTGCAGAGATCCAGCAGTTTTCTGGGAGTTCTGAATCAGCTGCAACTGTCTTATCGATTTTTTAGGGGGGGCCTGGAAAGACACCGTTACAGTAGTCGAGTCAACTGAAGATACATCCATGGACAACTTTTTCTAAATCCCGCTGGGACATAAGTCCTTTAATTCTTGATATATTCTTGAGGTAATAGTAAGCAGACTTAGTAATTGTCTTTAAGTTGAGTCCATGTCTACAACAAGTTATGAACCACCAAACAGGGGGGAACAGCTTACCTGGCTCTGTCTAAAGGTAACATAACACATAACCCTGAGTAACCAATCACAATATATTTACGCTTCAGCAAACAAGATATAAAGTTGTTAATTACTAAACTTCAGAGGTGTTAATATGTGGATTGTGTTATCTTCGGACAGAGCCAGGCTAGCTGTTTCCTTGTGTCCCTTCTTTATGCTATGCTTTATGCGAAAAGGCCTCTGATGGTATATTTTTACCTTACAGACATGAGAATGGTATCAATCTTTTCATCAAAAAAAGACATTTCCAAATACAGTAATTCTTCTCTTTGTGGGAGAGATATAGCAAAAAAAAAATTCTTGGATGACTTCACTTACAGACATAAAGGTCTACAGTTGCACAGGTTTACATGCACTAACAAACATTCGGTGCTTGAATAATAATTATCAATGACTAGAACCCACACCCATTTTTTTTCCTGATGATTTTACCTTCAAATGTGTTGTCGATGGGTTCTCGCTGACAGATTTTGTTCAATATTCTACCAGCACCTGCATGCTAATCTAATTTCACGCTCTACTTCGGCAGGAAATGACTTCTCCGTGCAAGCAGTGTGATGTGGAGTGGATAAAGAAGGTGGGAGATGAGCAGTAAGTGACCACAGCTGATCTCTGGGTGGAGGGAGAAGGGAGGGAGGGATGGGATGAAATGAAACAAGGAGCGATGGAAGGAAAGCTGTAGTAAAGGTAGATATGTCAGGAAGATGTTTATTGGGGAGCATCAAGGAGATTCAGCAGGATTGTCTGAACAGTAGGGGGCAGTGTAAGCACAGTGTAGGACACCTTCCTGTCCATTTCCTCATGTCTGTGTGTTTGTTGGACATCTCTTTAAGGCACCAAGTCCAATCCCATCTATCCATGTATTCTGTCTCTTATTCCTCCCTACCTGACACTAGACAAAAACAGCAATAGTGAATATTCAAGCTGCTGTGTTTCCACTCATTTCTATTTCACTTACTGCCAACAAGTGAAGTGTGTGTTGAGCGGAAAGAAAAGTAGCTTATTTTCATGCCCTTTCCAAATGGCCCGGGCATTGCATGACTGTTTACAAGGTGTTACCGTTTTTTTTTTTTTTTTTAAACTAAAAACCACAGCAGGCAAAATAACTCCCACACAATGAAACCCTAGAAGTGTTTCAATGGGGAGCAAACTGAAAGTAAAGTAAAGACTTTTGACTGAGAGTGTGGTGGAAGCCTACGGTTTTTTCCAGACCTTGGTCACCTTTTGGTTTTACTCAACAATATCACTTACTCCCACTGAAAGCCTACAATGTATATACTTCGTTTCCTGGTGCTTTTTCTTGTAATTGGGCTCATTTAGTGTAAACTGCACAGATTGATATGGAAGATTTTGCATGTACTGTGGAGCATATTTACACAAAACCTCTGCCCTAATATAATTCATAAATCATTAGCAATGTATAATCCGGAGGAGTTTGTTGGGGGAAATTGGTGCTTAAATAACACCAATTTTAAATTCAGGTTTTTGTCAATACATGTGTTTCACTGTATACTTTAAAAGCTTCTCCAGTATGCTGACATTATTGATACCAGCAACTGAACAGATGAATTCATGAACCAAGTGTTCATGATTTCATCATTGAATGAATGAATGCAAGAAAAATTCACCTTCTTAAAGCATAACAAATAAAATCAAATTAAAAAAATATAAAACAAATATTCTTCTTTTTGTAGTGTTTTACTTCTTCACAACTTCTTCTTCTCTTTTCCATTTGTTTTGTAAGAGACCGCGCAGTTTGTGGCATTCCACAACCAGTCACATTTTCGTCACTACATTTGTGGATTTTCGATTCCCTGACTCATAACTAATACCCTCACCAACCACAAGCCACACTATAGACGCTGGCACCCACCTGCCACCTGGCAGTACAACCCCTCTCCCCCTTACACACTTCAGTATACAGCGTGACTGACTAATCCCTCGCCAGCTTTCAGAAAGTGAGAGCTGTTTCCAATAAATCACAACATGATGATTTTAAGCTGAAGTGGAATTCCCATTTCTAGTTGTAAATTCAAAATATGAAGTAGTGCCATGTTGAGAAATTGTTATTCTGCCTAAAATTGAGCCTGGTTTAATTTAAGCCATTTAAAGTTACCAGGTAGCAAAGCTTGACAATCTGAGTGTTTGGTGTCTCGTGCCTTGGTGTGAGGACTGTTTGACACCTCTTTGTGTTTATCTGAATGTGCTTCATGTGCATTGCAGAAGTAGAGTGTGACAGAGTATGGACTGCAGAGTGTGAAAAGCCCCCCCACCACCCCCACCCCTCCCACCACCACCACCCCCACCCCTCCCCATGAGACTACAGACATTCAGTTTATACATTTCTTTTAAGTACCATAAATGTCTTGTTCAAGAAAAGAGAACCACACAGTGACACTTTTAAAAGAAAATCGCCACATCATGCTGACCATCATGTATTCAAGTGTTAGTCCCCCCCACCCTCCATCATGTCTAATGTGAGTGACTGAACAGCAGTAGGTTTGAAAAAGAACATTTATTAGTATTAGCCACAAAGAGTAGCTCAGATCTCAAAGGCAGCTGCAGTGACGGCTCTTTCTTTGAAACGTCTGATCAGATCAGGGGTCAGATTTCAGCCCACACTCTCTTCACTTTATTTCCCCCACACACACACACACACTGTTGTATGAGCTGATCGATTTAGCGGCACAAATCTTTCATCAATGCTGCATCTGCATTATCACACCCTCCTACGCACTGTGCTGTACATTGTACAGTTACACACATACAAGCTCAGATGAAAGAAACAAAAAATAAATGCAAAAGAACAGAACCTGGAAAATGTGCAAAGTATTTTTAGACACAGAGACAAAAACAAACCGGATTTCACAGACCCTGAAACAGGCAATGATTGAGAAACCCTGTTAGGTTTGTGCCTGTGTGCACTCATGTGCAGGTGTTTGCACGTCTGCTTGGCACATGGTACCATCAGTGAGAGGTGTTGCAGTCTGACCCGGGCCCCTGACACAGATTGTTAAACCTGACAAAATTGAAAAGTGAGACAGTACAAGTGTGAAAAGGAAGAGATGCATGAATCTGAACAGTTGAGAAATGCAGCATTTAGAAAGAAAGACGACAACGCAGAGCTTGGAGCTAAGATTCCTCCGAGAGTAGTAATAGAAGGAAGTGGATAAATGACATTTTATGGACTCTTTAGCAACATCAGTATAATACTGCATGCTCCACCCACCATGCCAGTAAGTAACCTAATGATTGTTATTTTCCTACTGATTCACTGAATGTATTCATATGTCCTTAACCCAAAGCCACAAACATAGAGCCCGTACATTTAGACCGCAGACAACCCTGAATCATTTCAATGTTCGAACCCGGTTCCACCGACTCGTACCACTAAGAAGGATGTTGTTTGTTGTAAGGTGGGAGATGAAAGGGGGGTTCGATACCCCACTCTGTCTGAGTCATAGCAGGTCGGTGGAAAACTAGGTGGGCCAGATGCAAAAGCCAACTAACCAGTGGAAGTTATGACTTATTTTCAGATTTTTTGAAATTGCAAACTTCCCTGAAATGGGGTCCTTGACTTTATTTTAAATTATTTTGGGGTGATAAACTTGTAGCAGTTTATCCTGGTTTTTAAATGTGTGAAGTAGCAACACAGCATTGGGTTGGCAAGCATATTTTTTCAGTACACATCGACACAGAGTAGTTCAGAGGTAAAAAAAAAGAATGTGCGTAATTAGAAACAAAAAACATGCAGTGTTCCTCTAATACATACCGAAGTAGTAGGCTAATACACACACTAAGTGGGAAGACTTATGTTTGATATATTTGCTGTGTAAGATACATACGTCTTTTATCTTCTGTTGGTGCTGGCATTGCTGTGGATGTTCTTATGTATGCAGAAGAAAACCCCAAGATGTGCAGTGTTGTTGATAATCTTTTTATCTGCCACAATCTCTACGGAGGAATGAGCTGAGTTAAATTCTAATCAACAAAGAGGTTAAATTGGAGTGCTTTATCAGATCTGAGTCTGGCAACTTGTGCACAACAAGCGTCCGCTTTTTGTCTGCGTCTTTCCGTTCATCAACAGTGACAGGCAATCAAGTTAGCTGGGTGACGCTTTAGATTACAGCTGGCAATGTACAGTGTATTTACTGTAATCTAGGTGTTTTGCTGTAATCTTTTGTACTTACAGCATACTAGCACAGTATATAGCTATATATATATATATATATATATATATATATATATATATATATATATACATATAAAAAATACAAGCTATATAAATACATACAGGTACACAACATTTCGAAATCTTACAAGAAACTTATGGTGTAGTTATTATTTAACTTCTGGGTACTTATTCTATTACTATTACATGGAACAGTATGACTATGAACTGACATTTCAGGGACTGGACATTTCAGGGAAAATGGAGAGATGACTTTTGCACCACTTAATAAATGTGATCTGATTTTATTTCAAAATGACATTATTACAAACAAACAGGCAAACATTGTTCATTTATAATTTTGGTGTACCTAAAGGTACATCTGTGTGTTTACTTTGGAACAAAGCTCCAGGGGAAAGCTTATTGTGATACTGTCGGCCGCTGAAGACTGTCTCAGCTGCCGTTAACCAGAAGACGTCTCGCCATCTTCCCTGAATTGTCCTGATCAGTTTTATGGTCATACTGTTCAGCTTTACCGTTGAATATATTTGCTCTCATAAGATGCTTTGTTTCTTTCAACTTTTAAATATGATTGTAAAGTTTTGGTTTGAAATGATGGCGTATTGATAAAACCCTGCCGCTTTGTTGTAAGGCAAGTTTATGTGTAGCACATTTCATACACAAAACACAACATTATGAAAGTGCTTTTCATGATGCATTAAAAACAACAGAAACATAAATACAGGATGGTAAGATGGTTCATGATGAGTAATTAAGGTTCCTTTAAAGGTTAAAATGTCAAAGTTTAATATCCTCTGGAACTTTATTTTTTGTTTGTGTGTGTTATTGCATTTATGTAACTAACCAAACTGCAACAGTTTTTGGAAAGGCTCGTCTTTATACAAGAAATGATTCAAACTGGCGTGATAAGCAGGTTATCTTAACAGATTTCAAAGTTTCACATCGAGTCCATCATGCAGATAATATTCTAATCTACCACCGTCAGTGCTGAAATGAGTAAATTTCAGGTCAAGACTGAGGAGTTTATAAAAATTGGGTAGACATTTTAGATAAGATGGCTGTTATCAGATTTAAAGGCTGCTGGCAGCAGCGGTGACTAACTTGTTTCTGACTGAACAAAATCCTCTGCCATTATGGAACCTGCACTAATCTAAATCACTCTCTTTTTAACCACATACAGTACATATCACTCTTAATCGCATCTAAGCTATCAAAGAGGTGCTTAGAGATGTGTAAAGTGTTCAGAGATTATTCCTTATATCTACTTGTACAACACTTGCCTCACATTAATTTAAATTGTGGGACTTAGATAAGTTTTGAGCTAATGAGTTGAGACAAAGTAAGCTTGTTGCCATGGGTAAAAGACACAGGGACATGTAAGCCAACCCATGCTTGTTTACGGTTCTTGAAATAGAGTTGCTCTGTCAGTACAGCCCCTGAGAGAGTCATGACACATCTTGCATGAAATGGTGTGATTTTATGCACTTCAATTATGTGCTGCGACTTGCAGTCTAAAAATATAAGCCTATAAGCCTCTCAATTAGCCAGCCTGATTTGTGAGGCTGTGTCAGAGCTGCAATGCTCATTCAGTTTAAACAGGAGATGAAGAGCAGTGTGGATTTGTGATGTAAGTTTCATACATCTTAAAATATTAAGGATAGCCTTTGATTAGCTTCCACCAGTGGTTTACATTTTGATGATTAAACTGAGATTATAGTGTATGTATGCTTATATAGTTGTAATACATTAACATTCCACCAGCATTGTAATATTCTATAATGACAATGATTATGATAATTACATAATTGCATCCCTTCCTCCAGGGTGAATTTGGCTCTGGCCTACACAGAGTTAACAGAGGAGCTGGGACGCCTCCAAGCACTGAGCTCCAAGCAGACGGAGATCCTGAGGAAAGCCTCGCAGGAGCAGGCTAGTCCAGGTTAGCATCTACCGTACTCATGTAAAATACTGTATATCCAAATATGGAAATCCAGGGTCATCCTCAAAATCCCTCAGTGGTGGAGGGAGTATTTCCTATACTTGAGTAAAAGTAGCAATTCCACACTATAAATGTACTTAATTTCAAGTCCTGCATTCAGAGTATCCAAGAGTATCACAAATAAAATGCAATAATGTCCAAGTGCAGTTTTACATTTTAAAGTAAGGGACGACTGTAGCTGTTGAAAAAAATCCCTCTGAAATTTAGTGGAGTGGAAATACTATAAAGTAGCATGAATTTGAAATACTGAAGTAAAGTGCAAGTACCTCAAATGCACTGTACAAAATAGTGTTTTTGAATCACATTACATCACTAAGATACCTGTGTGATGAGGACAACTTTAGATTTTGTAAATTTAACATAAAGTATCTGAATGTTTGTTCAAATTAAATGTCACTTAAATAAAATACAATTAGTACAATGCTGTAGGGCTATAAATGTGTCTGTGCCATTCTAATGTTATAATAAAAGAACTTCTGGTTGTGATTTGTTTCTATAGTGTTCTCACTTTAATGTAAAGATAGAAACTAACACACTCTCTAGCACGAGTACAACTTACAAGTTCTAGGCAACACCTTTCTCTTCCTGCGCAAGTAGTCACACACATAGCTAATGTCTCACGACTGTGCATCTACTACCTACCACAAACCCAAAGGCATCACATGCATTGCCCTTAGTACAGTGGAAATGTATGTTGAATAAATCAGTGAAAAACTGTGCATTTTCGCACAGCTGACAGTGGGAAAAACAAAGAAAACCCCACATTGCATTTTACTTTTCCCTGTGGTTGTGTGGTGTCACATTAATCTAGAAAATGTGACTTGAATGGCACTTTGCTTAATTAGTTACAGGATCATGCATGGGGTATGAATGCCTCTTGGCTATCTTTAACAGCAAAACAAATACTTTTCGTGAACCATTTAAATAATCTGGGACATGGGGATTTGTGTGGAGCTATAAAAATTCTCATGGGTGTTATAATGTTAAGAGTAGACTTGAACTGAATAGTCCCATTTGACTATTTCCTTCTCATTCGGAGGCCCAGAGAGTGCTTTAGAGCACAAACACCCCCTCCCTTTTAACACCTCAACCAACCAGCCACGAACGATGTTTCCTCTTTGATATGGGAAGTGGAGCTGAAGTGGTAACTACAGGGGCTACTGAGTCATCAACATATCTCGTAATTACACGAAACAGTACAATTGTACCCATGCATTTCTAAATCTTTTTATGAATACATAGAGGAACAAGAATTTCTATTCATGGAATATCCGGAAAGTTTATTCGTAAAACTTGCTATGAATGTCTGCTGATGAAATACATAGAAGCAATTTCATGTCATGAGAATATTAGTGAATTAATATAACTGATTAATATGAAATAATCCAAAAGATTGACCACATTTTCTTAATGGCTCTAACAGGAAGTAAGGGGACTAGTCCAGACCCACAATAAAACAGCCCCAGACCAAAAGTACGCCAAAGTTTATGCACAAGGGTGTTCACATACTACACGGCCATATATCATTTCAAATATGTACGTGTTTGTTCTCCTTCTATGTTCCCTCAGTCCAGCGTCACTCTCCCATCCACCACCAGCGCCACTCTCCAGTCTCTCAGCGCCACTCACCTATCTCACAGCGCCATTCTCCAGTCCCACCTCTGCCACACCACTCCCCAATCCAACAGAGACGCTCCCCGGTGCTGCAGCGCCTCTCCCCAGACATGCACCGCCGCTCACCCCTGCTGGACGTCAATAACGGACCGGCCTCTTACTCCTGCCGCCCACCCAGTCACCACCTGAGGGCTAGCTTCCAGGGCCGTCGCAGTTACTCTGAGGTTGCCGACCCCTCCGCTTACCAGTGCCCAACCCGCTTCTCACTGGACCCTGTCTCCACCCTGCCTAAGCCCCGGCCCTACATTGAGGGCTACCCAAAACAGCAGTCCCAACATGTGGGCTCACCTCATGGTGGACTGCAGCACAGAGGATCCCCATCCCCCCATCAAGGTGGTGCAGGAGGGGATGGGGGTCTCGGAGAGAGCTCAATGCGCCACTCAAGAGAGATGCCATTCCCACTGTCTGAGGTAGCCCACCTCCATTATGAGCCCCCTCCTCCATCCACACCAGCCCCTCAACCCCCACAGTCATCTGAAGACGAGGAAGAATGGACCTGCCCGCATCCCATCAGCCCACCTCGGACACTGGGCGTGCTCTCTTCTGCAGTGCCCAGTGGCGTCATGAGAGGCCCAGCATCCTGCTCAGCCTTTCCCATCCCTCAGAGGCCTAACACCCTCAGCTGCCACCCGCAGCCCGGGTACATGTCAGCAGAGCATGCTCAGTCCTGGCCTTCCATCAATGTGAGTTAAAACAAAGTGTAAACCTTTATCACATCTGTGTAAAAGAGTTAGTACATCCACACATTTGAGTAATTTTGAAACCATTTAGTTTCAGCAGTGAAAGTGCACAATGTCCTGTGTCACTACTGTATTTACTGAGCTCAGGTTCATAGAAATTAACTAGTATTTAACCCCAAGACTCTTAAACTGAGCTTTTCCAGTCTGGACTCTGTCTTTACCGTGTCTCTCCCTAGTTCCTTAAAGTAATTGTTAAAAAGAAATAACTATTTGCTTATTTTCTGAGAGATGACAAGTTTGAACAATCTGTGTGCAGCAGGTAAGTTGTCTTACCAGGAAATAGCTAGCCTGGCTCTGTCCAATGTGAAAATGTAACCCTAACAACATCTCTAAAGCTGGCTAAATAAAATCTTGTATCTCCTTTATTTAACCTGTACAGTACGTGAACAGAAATGTAAAAACAACTATTGTGATTTTAGAGTGAGCATTGGAACTATGTCTTGGCAAACACCATTTACATTGTGCATTTACTGTGCACAGATTCTTCAAAGTAAGTTTGTAAGGTTTGCTACCATTGTGAGTGTCCAGAGACAAAAAACAAAATCTGTACTCACTGACCAAATCTGGAAACCCATGCTAAACAACAAATGATACACCGCGTAAATAAACCCGCTTTAGAGGTGTTGCTAGGTGTATTTTTACTTTTTACTATTTTTAACTTGTAACAGAGACTAGCTGTTCCCCTTGCTTCCAGTCTTTAAGATAAACACAATTATCCTCACAAGAAATCTTTACCTTAATGATTTACCTTAAGGATCTTTACCTTGATGTAAGCAAGTTGTTTTTGCAAACACCTTAACTTTAAGCTTTTCCAGTTATGGAAGGTACTGACAAATGACATTGTCCTGCTGATAGGGGCGTCAGATCAGAAAATGCTTACATGTGTCGTTCCGGGGGGCATTTCCACATGACATACTTGTTAAATAAGCTCTGTATTTGGAAGAAAGCAAAGAAGCATTTCCAAAGATGTCTACTCCTCTAATTAGTTTTGCTGCCTTACACAATGAATCAGTACTTTGATGAGAGTTCCCACCTGGATTTTACTACTAGTCGCTCTATTTCATTGCAAAGGTCTGTTGTGTAAGTCTGAAGTGATCACTCACCAAGTAGTGATGTAATTTTGTTGCCTCCCACAGAATGACTAATACAATCCGGTGAAGTGAGGAAGCTGAGGACCACATATGATTTATCCTGATGTTTAATTATGTGTGTACCTGTGTGTTGCTCTGCAGCTCTGGATGGAGACCGAGGAGAGTGACATGCGGAGCTGCCCTCTCTGCCAGCTGATATTCCCTGTCGGTTACCCTGATGATGCCCTCATCAAGCACATTGACTCCCACCTGGAGAACAGCAAGATCTGATTGCCATGGCAACCAGCCCTGCACACATCTGCGCTCTCCTCTTATAGATTATGTAAGAGACTGGCAGACGCAGCCAAAGGGAAAGTCAAACGTAGAATCACAGGCGATCCATGAACAAGTCAGCTATGTGTGATAAGCTATAGATAGGGATGCAAAATGGGCGCAGTGGCCTGTTATATTTGGGAAGTATTTAAACATGGGTCTGTCTTGGACTTGTCCATATGCAGAGCCCTTTACAGATCGCCCTTAAGACAGCTCTGCCTGTATAATCCCTGACTCTGGTTGCTGCTGTTTTTGTTATGAGTCTTGTTGTGTGGTTTCAGACAGTTTCAGGTGTTGTGTCGTTGTTCGCTTCACAGTGTAGTACACTTTGATTTAGCAAAGTAAGCCAAAGACGAGGTATGAGAGGCAGGCTGAAAGGTTCAGGCGCTCTGCATGTAAAAAAGTTAGTTTCAGTGTTTATCGGTAAATGATCAGGGAGATCTGAGGCGTCTTTTATAAAAACAGACCACTCTCACCACTTAGCTTTAAATATTGTACACCTGCTTGGATTTTCTATCTCACACACATACTACAGTATATTTTCGCAGAGGATTCTGTGCAGTAAGTGCCAAGGACAGTTATTTGGTAGAAGATGGCTTATTGAAATGACAGATATACAAAGTCATATGGGACGGTGATTAGTCATAAGTAGGGATTTTAAGATTTTGATGCTGAGGTAAGAGAGAATGACACTGTGAAGGAATTCTGACTGATAGTCAGTCGATCAGTGTTTGATGCCAGTTTGCTTTCACTTCCCTAAAATGAGGAAGTGTGTTTCCAAGGCAGTTAAGAAAGTATAAAACATTCCAGTCTCACATTTCATCTACTGACAAACCAACTGACAAGCTGGGGAATATGAATGTGAAAGTATGTTTGGATAACCTGAAGACGGTTTTACCCAAATAGAGTTATGAAGATGCCCTGCAGGGCAGGGCACTGATGTTTTTGAGTCTTCTCTACAATTGGAGGGACATTTTTTGTCAGAATATACCTTTTATGCTTGCGGCCTGTTAAAAAAAAATCTGAGTATCTTAGCACTTTAGCCTATACAATGTATTTGTTTTCAGTCCCCATATATATTTTCCATGTATAATTTACTATTTATATTGTCAATCTGTAAGGCAAAAAAATATGAAGATATATTTTTGCAAATGTTAATGCACCACGTCTCATGTTGGTGTTTCTCCCATGTGCTTGCACACTGCTGTATATAGAGGAGTTGAAGATCAAAATCCCTGGGGATGGGATACTTTTCTGTACAAAGACTTTAAATTATCGACGGGGATTCTCATCGGTCTTCCTAAAGATCTGACCTTCAAAACAGTTTGATGTCACGACTGCCCAGACCACCCAACAAAAAACAGAAAGAACACACGGCTGCATGAGATCAAGACCTCTGACCTGTCTTGAGGAAAAAGTGGCAGGCTTTTTAGTGTACTGTATTTTTATCTCGGAGATCTGATACCAGAAACATCATCTCCAATCAGCAAAGTTATCTCTGCAGGGTTTCAGCAATGACAATACTCTTCTTTTGATACATGGGTTTCATTTTTATCATGAGTGGAATCTAAACTCGAGATCTGCTGTGGGACTTTCTTTTTGAAAAAAAAGTAAAAAAACAAAGTTACACTGATGTCAGCTTATCTGAAGCTTTACGTTACATGTGCAGTTTCTAATGTAGGGGATGTCCCTACACACCCACTCATGCATTTAAACTGGTTTGAAATTACTGAAGAAGTGAAATGCCGTAGATTAGAGCACATAGGACAGTGATTAAGGCAGCAGAGTGATGTAGGACATAGGTCTTTATGTTCTTGGGTTGAGCAATATCGACCCACCTGAAGTATTCTTTTGCAACACACTGAATCCCTACAAGCTCTGCACACCTTTCTCCATTAAAGGAAAACTGGTTTATTATCACTGGGACCTTATTTTAGTAGATTTGGACACTGGTTCAACTAGTTATGATTGTACTCACCTAGTTAATTGCTGAGATCTGGGAAAGCGGCAGCATTGCACACCAGACACCATTTTATTCAATAAAATGTTATTGAAGAATAAGGAAGGAAAAAAAATCTCTCAAAGCAGTTATTAAGCTTGATAGCTCATTAGCTTAGCTCTGACACTAACAAGACAATAGGTTAACACAGTTTGGTTAAAAGATGTATTTATACTGTCGGCTTCTGTCTGCAAACCACTTCCCTTTTGTAAAGCAGTTTTTACACCTCCATTTTGGGTTTTCTGGCTTTCCATTAACAAGAGGCAGAGGCAGTACTTTACACAGCAGAGGCCACATTTTTAAGTAATGAACCTAAATCACACAAGACGAGATATCCAACGAAGGTTGAGGTCAAGGGCAACTGGACTTGGTCGTTTCATCCCTCATCCAAGAGACTTCTTCAGTTCTGAACTGAAGAAGAACTCAAGAAGTCTCTTGGATGAGGGACGAAACGTCTTCTAGTATCTTCAACCAAGTCCAGATGCCCTTGACCTCAACTTTCATTTGAAAACCTGGATGACTGAGAACCTTCACAGACACAAGACAAGATGCCTCGGGATTTGTTTGATTCAGCTCAGCAGGTGACGTTGATTGATTGATCCAACCATACTTTCGCGTTGCAGCAATTAATCAGTAAAGCATGTTACAATGTCGGGAATAAAAAAATTTGTACAAAATGGAAAAGTTAAAGCAAAGGGCTTAGTCACAGTCATGATGGGGTATGAGAGCAAAACATTATCCACTGCACTGCTGGTCAGGCACAAGGCTGAAATTAAGAGCTGTCTGTAAGAGCTTTGCCTCATACTGTCGCTGAAAAGGGTTTTTCTTTTCTTTGAGGGGGCGGCAGCACCTACGACCTCTGCTAACCAGTTCCTGGGGGAATCCCTCGAAACTATTCAGAATTCCACAAGAAAAGGGTGACATTCAAAAGTACTTTGAAAAATATTCATACTACTTCAACAGAATTTAGATTTTCTAATATCTAATACCCCATTAATCATATTCAAACAATTAACTTGGTGAATACAATGTTATTGTAAGTGATAGAACCGAGTTGAAATGAACTGGAACTATCCTTTAAAGAAATGCGTCCTGAGGTGTACAATAAAAATTTCAATGTAGTACGGAGATACTTGACCATTAAAACGAAGAGGGCTTCAATGACTCCCAATTATTCTATACTGTATGTATATTCCTATATCACTTTGTGTAAAAAAATATTTAAAGTTGTGTACAGACAGGTATTTTGCAAGTGTGTAAGGCTAATGCAACATGTACTCTATTACTCAACAACTTCAAATTGGAGTGTCTGTAAATCAGTATATATAATCCTAGCCACCACCACCACCACATGAATTATATGCGAGTTATATACAAGTACTACCCTACACCGTTCCTCTTGTACTCACTGCATAGTGGTATGTCCTCTAGTCAACAAATATCCAACTATAGTCGCAGCCTGTTTTAAGTTGAGGGATGTGTGAAGGTGAGCACTTTCAGGTTTTGTCACCTATGACCATGATCTAAACTGACTATATGACCACAAGAACACTGGGTTTCAAGAAAAATCTAAAATGAAGGTTTTTCTGAAGGTTTCAGTCATTATAAAGAATGGATAAGCCTCTGATGTTTTAGTCTGATCTATCATGCAGCAAAGAAAAGAAATATACACAACGATCAAAATGTGCATAGATGTCTGTCTTTGCTGCTGCTGATGTTGCATTATAAACTACTCAGTTAGCATCAGAAAATTAGAAATCACAAGAAATTAAATAATAATTTGGAAACTTTAAGTTAAGTTATAGCTATGTGATTTGAATCCTAATGGAGCTGAGGTATTTTCTTTCACAGAGGAAACGTTTCACAAACAATATGGACTTTTCCTCCACAATCAGAGGACCTTTGTTGGCTCATAACAACAACAAATTATTTCTTGCATTTTGATTAACAGATGACATGTCAGTGTGTGAGAAGATGCTGCACTGTGGTTTATGGTGCTGGGATGTTGTTAGCAACCACAATCTGTTGGTCTGCAGCAGCGATGCAATGCAGTCATACCCGGTATGAGCTCACGATGTAATGCATTCAGATGTTTATTGGGCAACACATCCGCATGTACAGAAGCTGTGCTGAGGTCAACACATTATTAGATTATTGTCTTTTCAGTTTTTGTGCCCACTAATTGTCAAGATATAGAAAGTCAACCTCAAAATCTGAAATCATCATAATTTGTTTTTTTGTGTTCTAACATCAAACTGACTCCTCACCTTACTCAGGAGATTAACAGAGAGACAAATCCAACAGTGGAGAGATCAGATCTGTTAGCGTTAGATTCAAATTAAATATTTCTTTATATTGAAATTTCCATTAAAATTTCCCTCAGATTTACTCAGGAGTCAAACGGGTAGGTCCAACAAAGAGTTAGTTTAAAAAAATTTATATTTTATTTATATTATACTATATTATACTTTTATTCCATTCTTGTATAGCTCCACTCTAAGTAATTATATGACTCACGTTGTTCTCCTGGGTAACATCAAGCGCACATGGAGACCTCAGCACTAATGAACTCTCCACAACACTAATGAGAAGTAATATCTACTCTACAGCATTTGTGTGGCGGAACAACACTGCTGGCATTCAAGGACTTCACGAGTGTGATAAACAAAAGAAAACCAACAACAGAGGTATATAAAAAGTCACCTTTTCTTTCCCTCTCTGTCTGTAAATATTCCTATAAATAAACTGGAACTTGCACTGAAATAATGTATGAACTGGCTTCTTTATGCACAAATGATGATGGCATCATCTGCATCCTTAAAGTTGTTTCTCTCTGCAGAAATAAATGTAGACACAAGAGGGTGAAAGGAAGTTGGCTTGGTATGTGGTGCTCAGACAAGTGACACCTAAAACTGAATAACTGAGTTTATTACCTAACAATGTCAATGTATAGTTTTACAGCATGCTATTTAAATATTGCACATGTAAACATGCTTAAAAGTAGTAGAATAGACAACTATTCAAATTAAAACTCCTATTTGTAATGGGGTTTTTCTTGCATGTAAAACCACCTGGGGGGAAATTCAAGCCTGAAATGTATTCACACATCTCAATATTAGAATGACATTTTGATATTATGTTATTAACAAACATCATTCACCATTTGACAGATGGTATTTGTATTTAGCAGTGGAGAGGTGAACATTTAAATGGGGTCTGACAACAACGTTCAATGTGCACAAAGCCCTCGATAAAGATGCACGCATACCCCAAACACACAACGAGGCTGCAATGGACATGTGTTTGCACGCTATTGTGTCTACAGAGTCCTGAGGAACAGTAATCATGTTGTTAGTTTCAGTTGGCCGCTGGCCCAATGCTGCTGCTGCAGAGAGAGCCGAGCGTGTTGTGAAAACATCCACGAATCACCCATCGATATCAGGTGTTGTCGCTATGATATGCTCCAATTATCTTGTCAATGGTCCAGTTCAGCAAATAAACGGACTGGAAGAGGACATCTGTCACTATTACATTTATTAACAGTTAATATTTATGTTTTATTGCATCAATAAAATAAATTCTAGTTTTCCAGATTGTGAACTCACATTCTAGTTCAGTGAGCTGGTTGATATATAAACTGTGGTTTGTCTTTGTAGCTACTTAAGACATTAATCACTATATTACTGTTAATTACAGTAATTCATTATATTGCAATCTGCGCCTATCCAGATGTTCAAAGAACAGAGAAGAGGGATTTTGTACTGTCTGCTGTTTGATGATGTTGCTGCTGGTGTGCATTTATTGCATCTACATAGTTCACCCACGTCACCATACTGATTGATATAATAAAAGTGTATAACATTACAGATTACAGCTTTAATGATGCAAGATACCTTCTCATGGACAGCTTAACCTCATTTTGTTAATGAATTACTAAATTTATGAATTCAGCTTGATGACACTTGATTATAATAAGTAAAAGCTCAACGACTTTTCATTGATGACTCACTGTAATTAACTTAAACTTGATGGCTTTGATAAATGGAACCTTAGTTTCATTTCATTTCGTTTGATAAACGAAATTAGTTTATTCAAATGTGTGTTCCTGAAGAAAAAATCCCTAAATGTTTATATTAGTCTTTATAACATACTATTATTGAACTGTAAAACATTAAGAGAGCTATCGGCCATGACTTAAGTAGGTCTTTTTTACAAAAGTATTTAGATTTTGACAGTTATCATCCAGCCAGTTACATCTCACATTGTTGACTGACCATTTATTTTTTAAGTGTCATAAATATGTAGAAAACATCAAGATTTGTATGAATTGTATGAATATTGAATTTTGGTACACACACAAAACAATCAAAGAAAAAACACCCCTCACTCTTTTTATGTGAAGTCAAGGTTGTTTTGTATACATCAAATCATAGCATCCCCCCTTCATTTGGCAAGCTTCTTACCAAGTTTGTTTCCTACGTCTTTAGCTATGTGCCGCTAACCTCAATACATAGCATACCTCAGGAAAAAGAAAAATGCACCCACCCATCCGGGCCACAAAACCACAAAGCCTAGACTTATATGAGAGAGAAGCTACACAGGCAGTAAAAGCTTGCAAGGGGAACTAACAGAGAAAAACCACACGAAGTTAGTCAATAAGCGATGAAAGCAGCACTTTTTCTCACTGATCAAAAACAACAACAACTCCTCTGTACTTACACAAACACGTGTATCACTCTGCCTTAAATACACAAAAAACATACACACGTACAAACACACAATTCTTAGAAGTCGCAGGTTTTTTTTGTCATTTCTGCATTTCCAATAATACTCAACACTTCTTGTCCGTTGTTTTTAGCAAACATTGGTGGTTTTTTTAAGAGGGGGGGGGGCTTTATTTGACAGTGACAGGTGAAGAGCAAACAGGAAATGTGGAGATAGAGGGGTGTGAGATGCAAAGGCGAGTGTTCCTGACCATGCGGCCATGCGCTGTAACCACTGGGCTTCAAGGTTACGGTTTTATAATTGTGAAGTGTTTGACTAAAAGTAGTTGTTTTTTTAAGTTTTAGCAAAAATGTCATCCAGCGTCATAGTGATGCGTTTCTATGTCATGGTCCATCGCTGTTTAAACACTTTTCACTAATAGTAAACGTACTACAAGAACCTTGACGTGGTTCTTTACATTGTGATTTGTCTTTTAAATTGATGTATAATGTTGACTAGAGCTTCTTTATCAACTATTTTTGTAGTGGAAAAGCGTGGTGTTTTGAACTACATAGAAGGGCCGAAAAATCAGGGCTTGGAAAATTAAGGGGTCGTTCTTCCCTCGGCTAGCAACACTCAAGTTTCTTTGAGCAAGACACTTTACTGTTGCAGAAGAACAGCTCTGCAGTGAGGAATGACACACTTCTACATATATCAGCAACACATACACTTAATGATAAAAACTGTATAACTAACAATTCCCCACTTACTGCATTCATGTAAAACTAACAGAAAGAAGTGCATCATTATGGATATGAAATTCTCTGATAATTACAGTTTAAAGCAACTAGAACTGCATTATATAGGAGCTGGGGGTTAATGTTTAACAGATGCGTCACAAAAACAAATTTCAGTCATCTAAGAGTTAATATGTTGACACAGTCTTTGAGGAAGTTTCCTTCCGCTTCTCTTTCGCATATTTGATCTTAGCCCAAGCTTGACCTGAAGCCTTATTCAAAGCACGTTAGGTTTACAGTAAATGCAAATTTAGTAAGTGTAACTTGAATTGTCTACATTTATTCTAATGAAGGTGCGTTACTGTAGCCTCTAAAGTTTGTAGGACGTGTAGTGTATTCATGTATTGATTTGACTTTTTGGTTTGGGCATGCAGCAAGTGAAACCCTTTCTTCTGCTTGGGGCTTTGCAGCTTCTTTTGTTTTAAATCTCTCTTCTTGGGCATGAAGCAACAGCATGTCATCAGCACAGAAGCTGTGTAAAAAGCACTTGGTTCAGTTTCCAAGTGGGAAGTGTTTCACCAGCCCACCAGATGGCCACATAAACCACATAAACCACATACCTACTTCACTTCACACCACAGCACTCTGACCAAGTCATATCTACATATTGTTTGTCTTGATATTTATTGTAAAAAAAAAAAACAACAAGTCGCAAACTCT